CAGGGAGGCAAGGTGGTTATCGTCCTCCTGCTGTGAGACCTCCTTCCCCTCCAGGCTGCCCTGCTGCCATGGCAGGGCATCTTTGCTCCACGGAGCCCTGAGCTTCAGCGGGCCTGGCCACTCATCTCCAGTTCCTGCAGAGGCTCCATCTTGCTTGGCACAATGGTTGGGTGCCACCGGGTGGCTCCTGGTGCTCTGCAAGCTCTGTTAGCCAGGGAGTGGTGGCAGCCTGTCCCCATGGAGGGACGAGGCCTGGCCCAGGCTATCCTCAGGCACTGCATGTTGCTGATAGCTCTTATACCTGCAGTAGCTGTCACCTACTTAGAGGTAATAAAAATATCCTCAGAAATTTAAAATTTTACCTTTTCAGAGACTTTTATTTTTGTATCCACTGCTGGTGTGCACAGAACTCAGTTAAATAGGCTAAATTGAGAGTTTTATTGAAGAAAAATGAGAGAGGGGCATTTCTTGAGGAGTTTTTCCTCACTATGGGGGAGAACTTCTTTACACTGAGAGTGGCAGAGCCCTGTAACAGGCTGCCCAGGGAAGTTGTTGATTCTCCCTCTCTGGAAACATTCCAAAACCACCTGGATGCATTCATATGCAACCTACTCCAGATGACCCTGCCTTGGCAAGATGGTTGGACTAGATGATCTCCAGAGTTCCCCTCCAACCCTCATGATTCTGTGATTCTGTGTGACTGAAATCTTATGCTTCCAGGAGGTCCTTTTGCAAGAAATCCTGGTTTTCTTTCAATTGGCTGATGCCTTGAGAGAGTTGCTGCCTGGCCCTATGGCATGGGTACCCTGGTTCACACTCGCTCAGCCCAGGCCATCGCCTCTCATATTTCCTCTGCACTGCCCTAGTGTCTCCCTAAACAAACTGTTTTCAGGGTTTCACCCCTGTGCTGACCAAGGACTTGCTCAGGAACAGCAGCACCCCACCTTCATTTTCTGCTTATGAGTCTCTTAGAGTTGGTCTCTCTCTGGTTGTGTTCAAGATAAACATGTTTTTCTCCTCCAGCACATAAAACCCATGTTAATTTACCTGGTGTGTGCTACAAGCTCCCCATGTGCAACAGTTCCACTAGAAAAAGTTGTTTGTGCTCCTTGACTGAGGTCCGGCCAGGCTTAGAGCCTGGTCTCTTACTCAGGTGGGGTCTTAGGAAGATCTGTACCAAGGGAAAGCCCTGACTTCTCCAGCGACCCAGCGCAGGCAACTGCTCACACACAGACTCACACAAGGCTTCAGCAAGACAGGCAGTGAGAGGGATCAGGCCTCCCCTACCAGGAGGGTACTGGGTACTCAACCATTGGCTGAGTTACAGCCTTCCCGACACGCCTACAATGTGACCCCCATTACGTGGTCATTTAGGGAAGGGTCCCCAGCATTTTCAAAATGGAGGTTATTGATCCTTTGCTGCTGATAGATCCCCTTGTTTCTGGGCAAACTGAACAACCAGTAACTTGTCACTTCCCACCACCAAATGCAACCACACTGCAAACTTTGCAAGAACATCTTTTTATTTATTCCTAATACTTGTTTTGGTGCAGCTGGACATGGCACAGCAGGGAGTCTGGCAGAGCTTGCTTGTGACTGTTCTGGGATAGGCTATGTTTGTATCATATTTTGTCAGACCAGAAACAAGGTCAAAGTTTGCAGAGCTTAACACACCCTTCAAGTACATACAACCCCCAATGATAAGCCACAGTTCGGTAGGTAATATAAACCACAATTGAGCAATTATGGCTCTTGGTATGTTTTCATTAGAGGTGTGCACGATTTCTGCCAGATAGCACAAGTATTTAATTTCCTGCAATTGAAGAGGAGGGTCCTAACAGTAGAAGCGAAAACGCAGCCTCTTGCTGTGAAAGCTGTGTGTGGGATTAGTGCAAAACTCGAGTCCTTGCTGAGCCAGGGGCAGCTGGCCCAGTCACTTCACACAGGAGCGGCAACCACTCATGGAAGCAAACTGCTGCTATTGCATGTCCACACAGGCAAGTGCAAGTCAATTGGTGGCAATTAAACAGAGCTGAAGCTTTACACCTTGGCTGCCCTATGAAAATATGTTGCCTTTTCACACTCGCTTGCAAACAATATGTTCGTGCTAACAAAATCCTAATAATACCAGTCTTTCTCAACTCTTCCTTTAGAGAGCTAAACATGTCCCTGTAATTCACAAAACAAGCATCAGTGTTGGGAAGTCGGGGTGCAATATGTATGCCATGAACAAATCACAGTGTCTTTAGTATTCAGCAGTACATTAATGGAGGACTTGGAGTGCTGGGTTTATGGCTTGACTCTGTGATCTCAAAGGCATTTTCAACCTAAATGATACTTTATGGGTGATCCCGATTCCTGTCAGACACAGGACTTATGCCTCAGTTCATGCAACTTCAAATTGCTAAAGAAGGAACTGAATATCCGTTATATCCATTTTATAATTGGGAAACTATTTGCAAGAGAAAGAGTAATTGTAACTCAGCTATGTACCAGTACTAGTACAATCTGGACAAAGGGACTCTGTGCAAGTAATAGTCCAAATGTTATCTGTCTAGCAGAAGAAAACTTACTTCTAACTTTCCCCTTCTTTTCCTCAGAAGACAATTAAGAAGTGGAGGCAGACCACAGGAAAGCTCTGTGCTTCTCCACAAGTTTTCTAAAATCCGAGGAGGTGTGTAGCACACGCAGGATTTGCTGATAGTGAGTGTTTAACAGATGTTAGTCTTCTTCGTAATTTAGAAATGAGATGCATTTCTTACCTGGCTTGTTTGAGGCTGCAGGAGATGAAGGGCCTCAGATCCAAGACTTAAAAGGAAGGAACAGGAAAGCTGGGGAGAGGTAGCTGCCAGCTGCCGCCCCATCATCACCACACATGGCCAATACTGACAGGCATGTGTCAGTATTGTTGAAATGAGCACCTTTTGGAAAAGATGGAAAAGCTTGCATATCTTTAGACATGAAACACATTGTACAAGTTCAGCAACAAACAAGGATGGCCTGAAGCCTTGAGGGGCAAAAGGTAGGAAATTAATAGCAGGCTTTTCTATTAAGAACACAAATTTAAAGAATAACGTAAAGGAATATAAATTCTTGTCAGGAAATCTCCACCCACTGTGCATGCTATAGGAAATACAAGACTGGAGGATTTCTGTCACAATTTTATTTATTTATTTACTTTTGACAATGCCTGCTTCAATGAAAGATTGAAACAGTCAAACTAAAACAGACGTTATATGCTTATACCATTTACAATATTTACATAATATACAGTTTTCTTTTTTGCTCAGTAGGTAATTATAACAACTTGGGACAAAAGTGTAAGTGAAAAGAAGCATTGGTGTAAAAAGTTAGACTTTCCTGTTTCTGATGTTGCAATGCTTGAACTAACAGAAGTGGCAAGTGGGGTAAATGCTCTGTGTAGTAACCAAGTGTAGTTGTCACTTCATAGTGACAGGTCCTGCTCAGCTTTATTTACACCAAGCCTAAGCCAGCAGGAAGCTATTACTCTGTCTAGAAAATTGATGACTGAGTTTACAATTCATCCCTTCTTCATTTTAACACTGAAAAGCAGAACTGCAGTGTTGAATTTTCTATTGTGCACATCGATAGCAATTAATTTCAAATGTTTTTGTATTAAATACTAAAATATATTTTAACTTTCTTATTATACATGCTATAAAAGTACACTAAAAATTTCAAGTTTCTGAAGTAACAATTACCCTTCTCTCTATATATATATATTCTCTATATAATTTTTAAATATTTAGATTTTTTTTTAATACCCAGGATAAAGATATGCTAGCTCCAGTATGGCTGCGTTTTATCATAATGTCTACCAACGTCCCATACATAACCAAAGCCTCATCTAAAAGCTAGTTTTGCAGGTATTCTACTTTGGTCACCACCTCATTTTCCCTTCCCTTCTTTTTAAAGCACATTTCCAAAGGTAGCTGTGCTACCTTTTAACTTCAGGTTATTCCCTATCCTGAGTAAGAGCTGAATTTCAGTTCCCTCCAATTAACAAGCCAAGTCACACAGCCACTGATGGACAAGCAGCAGGTGGCATTTTTCACCTCTTGGAGTGTTCTTTCAATACAGTACTGCAATCTCCAGGTCAGACATAATTCAATTCTGTCAAATACCTGACATCAACAGGAATTGCTTTAGGCCTGGATTTTGTTCAATGTACATGGGTGCTTTTCCATACACATGGTACCATGGCCCAAGTGCAAAACAGAGTGCACGGTGGTCTCAGCTACATGGTGTTCAACAAAAAGCAGTTTGAATTTTATAGATATGGCTTATGACCCACCCAAGTGATTTTTTCCACGGTTGCATCCTCAAGTAGCACCAACCTTTTAAAATTTTAATCTTTAATATATATACATACATCTTTTAATAATTTATATACACACACACACACACACACACACACAGATGTGGCCTTGGTACGTTCACCGCAGGAGGAAATTATTTACAGTGAGTTGGAAAAATGAAATTGTATCAAGTTACAGAATATGAAAACAAAATTGGCATTTGTGCTTTTTCTTTGTACAGGAGTAATTTTTGTCATTTCAAAAAAGGTTCATATTTTTATTTGCATCAAGACATGTCACATGATGAAAAAAGTTATAAACAACTAGGATTGAGAATTATAGAGCATTAATGCTCCTCATATACCCCCTAAGTCAACCGAATAGCTGCTTTCTATAAAAATTCTCCATTCAAACCCCTCTGTGGTTACCCAAGCTTGCTTGAGGATCTTCTTAATAAATGATAACAGCAGAAGAACCATGCATCCTGTCCTGCACTGTGCACATTCAGGAGCTAACAGTTTCTGCCTTCACTGAGAAACACATTTATACATAGGACTTAAACTTCACTTTTTACTCAGGACCTCAAAGTGCTTTTAAAAAGAAGGAAATACCCCGATTCTACACAGCAGTTAAGAGGCACAAGGAATAAGGCTTGAATTACTGTCTTCAGACACTGACCAGGCCGTGGAAACCAAGGACTTAAACTCCAGATTCTCCCTGATCCGTTTACTGGTAGGAGAATTCTATTTTCTCAGGTAATCTCTACTCCTGGATGTACACAATTGTTTATAATGTGTAACACTAAACAAAAAAAATTAGTAGTTCCACAGCCCAAACTGCCCAGCTATATTTCAATGAATGTACTTTTCTCTTGAAAGCATGAAATGGTTTCATAAGAAAGCTGCTAAATTAAAAACAGAGGTAGGCTTAACCTTCATAATGGTTTAGAAAAAACAAGTAGTTCAATACAGCAGGCTCTAAGTACTACTTTGACCAGGCTAACAAGTGTTTTCTGGCCAATAGGAATTTCAGCACCAGCCTACATAGAAGTTACTGCCTGCCTCATGTGTTCACACTTCAGGAACCACTGGAGACCAAAAGGGTGTTCCTAAGATATATAGTTTTAAATAACTCATAAAAAACTTACAGTGAATTTCATTATTTTTTTTCCTTAACTACAAAGACTGTTAGGCTGGGTGCTGGAGGAAGACTGCTCCCATCCACCCCAAGAACTAAAATACGCAGCATGTGTACTGTTACTTTGTAAGCATTTGAATTATTTCAGGAGTAAGAGATCTTTAGTGTCCTAGTAAGAAGTCATAGTATTCACATTCATTTCAGGAAACATTCACCTTTTCCAGACCACAAACTACTCTTCCTATAGCTATTATTTATGTGCACCTTTGCAATGCTTTTCCACAGGCTTCTCGTAAATGAAGTTTTCTTCTAGTCCTCTGTTTTAACAAACTACCCTCTCAGAGATGGCTGAAGAATCCCTTTTTCAACGAGGTGAGATTTCAGGGTTTTATATACACTTAATTGTTGTTCAGGCTGAAGTATCAACAGCTGTTTCAGTAATTTGCTGGGATTTGGACCCCTGTCAATGAAAAAAAAGAAATTTTTTTTTTTTTTGTGACCGCAACCCTGAAGAATCTTTTTAGATAGCTTTCCATTTTTCTCTTGCTGCACAAACAATGCCTTCCCTTTTTAGAGGACACCGAGTTATGGATTTCTCCCAATCTACATCTTCAGGATGCATGGGCTAGCATTACTGGGAGAGCATACTCTTAGCTCAATGTGAACAGAAACTAAAAGCATTTCTATTTGCTGTCTAATGGGGATACTGAGAAGACTTATGACAAGACTCACTGATTCATCCTTAATCACTGTATCAGAGTTTTTCATCAACAGATCTTTTTTCGTTTAGTATCTGCTGCCAGCCAGATAAGCTGTGTACTACTGAACTAAATGGGAAGTTGGCCAAGTTAGTAAAGAAAACTGTGAATTAAACCAAGCTTTTCTAAATATCAGCCTCATTTTTAGCTAGCCACCTAGTTACAGTCTACCAAGATGAACCAAATATAAAGCAAAGAATATGTTGCTGATATGCATTTACATGTTATCATATGCACTTAGAAAACTAAGGGCTTGTGTCGGTTTGGCTCCTTGACCCACCTCTGCCCTAGAAACTAAAATGACTACAGTAAGAGAATTGTGATTCCCATGATTTCTTCTTGAAAACTGGTGCGGTTCAGGAAAGATAAGCAGGATTTTTAAGAAGTTGTCTCCTTTCTTTAACCATTGCATTTTCATCTTAAACATCCCAAGCCAAGCAGCAGAGAAATACTGAAACTTACAGGAAGAACTGCAGTCTTGCAACCTACAGGCTATTAAGGAACGGCACAGGAAAAGCAGATGCTGCACAACTCTCCTGCCTGAAACCGCGATCCTATACCTTCCCGTAGTCAGTAAATTCTAATAAAACTGCTAGTAGGCTGCTACACAAAACTTTCTGGTATTTTGGATACACGGGTTACCTTTCAGAGCAGTCACGGAAACATTAGGGCATAGCTCGAACCTGACACAAATCCTAGGCAGTGACGTATGTTTTCTTAACAGTTCTGTATTTGAAATATCGCATAAATCATATTTAGAAACCTGCAATCTCTGCTATGCTAAAATAACTCCTATAAATTCATTATAGAAATATGCTATACATGCTTAAGGAGTTAACATTGTAAAAAGCCCATACCTTATGAAACTGGTGATATAGACATGAACAAAAGTGGCCATCAAGTACTGACAATCAAAGCGATCCATTATCCCACCATGCCCAGGGATTGTGTCTGCAAAATCCTTTTGGGTGTGAAGGATGGGAGAGGAAAAAAAGAAAAAAAAAAGATGGTCAGTGGTTCTGACAAAACACGCTAACGATGTGTCACTTGGAAGCAGCACATTAGGGCTGCAAGTAAGCTATGTTTTCACTGCACTGAGCCAAAAGTTAGCAAGAGGCTCCTTTGCTAAAGGAGTTTTTAACTGCAAAGGTGAGTCAGGGGTGAGAAGAAAAAGAAGAGATGAAGCAACTTGTCCACAGTATCGCACAAGAGGACAGCGGTAGGTCAGGTGCAGGTGTGGCAGTACTGAGAACATTTGTGTGCCTATACATACTTCATTTTGTGGTGAGCCTCTTAAGCTAATGGCTGTCGTTTCTTGCCTCTCCAGAATCTAATTCTCCTCTTTAATATCTTTATTGCTTTATCCTCTACTGGTAGGTATTGCTGAAGCACTTGTTACCAGGTAACGTATATTTGCTGCAAGAGAAGCAGTAACTTGAGGACTCTCCAGTCCTGCCCAGTCACCTGCCCTTTTTCTCACTGGGTTCTTGGTAACCATAGTTAAAAACCATAATGTGTGCATGCAATATAAATATATTTAACAGAATCAAAAAACCCTGCTGTGAAAAAATCATTGCTACCTAAAAAAAAATATTCCTGGTGCAAACAAAGCTCGATACACTATTTTTGTGTTACCTGATCCTGTCTGTAGAGCAGCTTTATCAATCAAAATACCCTCATACATCCTTTTAGTCATCCACGCTCATTTGTGCACTCTTGGGGTGAAAACCCTTAGTCATGTGGGGCAACTGCCAGCAAGTTAAACTCATCCTGTGCCTGTGCCACACCAGCCCTCCAGTGCTGGGCAAGCATGGAGTGTCTAACCTCACCTACACACTGCCTTCAGTAGCAATTCCACAATAACTCTGACTTCCCAACAGTCCTTTGGTCATCACCTTGGGCCCAGAGGTTTTAAAACAATCTACTTTTTAACATACTACTTTTGAGAATACGTGCTGTTTTTCAGAAGCATTAATTTCCCCCCAAAATCCCTTCTTCACACACACAGTCTTTTGCTCCCTGGATGTACGGGTACAGCAGCGCATGGGGCTGTGGCTCACAAAGTGCCGGGCAAGCTGCTTGGACCGGCATAAGAAAGAGGGGTAAACACAAGCACATGTACAGGAGTTCAGCACAAACAGAGGGGTTTATACACTTCTGTGCAAAGCACATGCCAGTTTGGCAGACATACAGAACAACAAGAACGACGACCAGCAACAGGATACAGCAGTCCTACCAAGACATAAAGAAGGCCGGGAGAAAATTTGGGGCTGCCCTCTTCCCATACTCCTACTGACACTTAATACCAGCCAGGGACAACACTGCCACAAGCAACAGTGCACACCTTGCAATAAACAGAGGTTAGCACATCACAGAATTTGCCAATACACACACTAGTTACAAGGCAGCACCGTATTGGCAAAGGCAGCCAAACATCTCATGCTTTGGTGAACCTGGCACACCAGCATCTGCATAACACACAAATACCACTGCTAAAACACAGCCAGCCACAATCTGAAGGGTAAACCACTGTCAGCACTTCTTAGGCATCTACAGGTTGCCTTTCGTGTCAAGTATAATATCTCACATCTTGCTTGTCTAAACCACTTCTGCAATGTGACTTGGAAGAGTAATTATCAACCAAACTAAAACCAAATTATTCTTAGATTTCCAGCATTAAAGTCACATGCTGATCATGCAAAGTTTGAAGAATAACACACATACACATATGTATCTCTCTGATAAAACTAAGTCCTGCTTCTGATGCTAAAAAACAGCTCAAACATAATTACAACTTAGTAGAAACACTAAGTACTACAACGAATTGTTTAAAAAACCCCCAAACACTACTCCACTAATTTATCTAATTCAAAGAGAAAACCAAAACAAAACCATCTTACAGGATTCATTACACACCTTGATTTTGAAAGCTCTTTTAAATCCACTGGCAAAGAATCCTCCAAATGGCCCAATTAATGAGGCAAATATTGACAGTGCAAAGCTGTGCATCTGAAATGGGTACATATGCACTGTTTCCTGCAAGAAAAATAATTAACGATGTATTTCAGTATGTTTGATTGTAGGCATTTCAATCTTACACATTTTAAAGGGTCGGTGAGTACATTACATGGAACTATTGCTGGTAGTTCTTCTAAGTTCTAAGCATGGAAGTAATGGCACTAAGACACACAATGCTATGGTGATGAAAAGAGTAAAAGTCTGTTCCTAATGGCAGTTACACACTAGCTGAAAACAGAATGAAGTTCTATGAGCTTATTGAAGCTTGCCACTAATTCGGGCCTTAACAAGCCTAAGCCCACTTTCCACAAAAATTCAAAGGTTGCTCTTCAAAAATAAGGTTTGTCTGCAAAATTCTTGAGTGTCATCCACTTCCAGCACAAAGAGAACACAGGCAGGTTCCCTTGGGTGACTCCAGCAGTGCATTTCAATTGCTCTTGGGTGACCACCTCCCCTGTATGAGCAATGGAGAGGGTCATGGTATCAATTCAGTTCTTATCCTTCAAGTCTTACCTGCATTCAGATACCCTTCTAAAATGGTTTAGAAACCCATTTAAGCTGGGAAGTATGATTTCAATTTTAGCCAAAGTCTTTTTTTTTTAACTTACCCATCCCAACACAGCCTGAAGCAATGGTGGCACAGAATACTTCTTCATTTGAAACAGCTCTGAAGGTTCACACTCTGTCACAAATCTGTTGGTTTCACTGTTATATTCCACAGGGCAGACAAAGTACTGATGTTGAGCCAAAAAATAGGAAAACTGAAAAGCAAAACAATGTCTCCTGAATTAGGTATTTGTTGTTACACTCAAAAATCATATTTTAATGAATGGCTTTGTCACCACAAGCTCAGAGTAATAAAAACCTTTCTAAGAAGAAGGAGTAAAATCAGTCTGTTTAAACTGGAGAATGCCTCAACAAGGCAGATGTTCAATGCGCTTAGTGATGATTTCCCAAATTGTTTTCCTTTTCATATCTCTCAGATTCATATCTACTGGATGTTTCTGCATTATAAAATCCCAAAATGTTAGCTACTCATATTTTTTTGCAGTTCACTTCTCTATTAAAACTTGAACTATCTCTTCTACCCAGTTTGGCTGTTATTGCTGATTTTGGTGTTATCGCAACAGTTACTTATGCAATTATTATCTTCTATGCATATCATCATTGTAAGCTGCTTTCCAGGAGAAATGCCTTTATAAAGTATGTAATACAAAAGTACTATTTTGCAAAGCATAAATAATACTATGAATAAACTTCAATTTCAAAATAGGGATGCAACTCACAGATATAACTGTTCCAGATATAGTAACAATAATGGCAGAAAATGGTCAATATAACCTGTCTAGGAGAGGTGCAAGCCTTGCCTACCCTTTGCAGCTAGTTATGAATTGGCAGAATTCTCTAGACAAAAAACCTCTAACTCTTAGGCTTTCAGCAGTTTGAGATGACCAAATTTATCAGTAATCTTACTTCAAGTAAAAATACAAAGACTGAATCTATACAAGGAAATTTCCATCCCCAGAAATGTTCAAGGCAGGTTGGATGGAAGTGGAAGGTGCCCCTGCCTATGGCAGGAGGGTTGGAACAGGATGATCATTAAGGTCCCTTCCAACCACAACCATTTTATGGTTCTATGAATGTCCTGTGGTTACTTACAATAAATCCAAATATGACAGTGGAAAAGAAGCCTCCAATGAACCCTTCCCAGGTCTTCTTGGGAGACAGCTAGGCACAAAAGAGAATTAGTCCATCAGTTGCATCACTGAACCCTTTTTTACTCTATTTCTTGACCTTGTTTGTGACAATTATGCTCCTACGTGGTTTTTCAAAGGTATGTGGGGAATAACTGAATGTCAGCAGCTGCTGGCTGTGATAAATAAAGGAGTATGGCTAGGACCTGTCCCAGGCAAGGAGGGAAAGAGCCACAGTTTGGTGCCACTATGCAGCCTGTGGGAAGGGAGAGCTCCCATCTCATGTGTTGCTGCCTCTGGAAGCTGCTGCCGGCCTCTGGCTGCACCTGACCCAGACTAAGCAGCTGAGCTCCTTTCAAGCAGAAGACTGGGAAAGCTGCAGGAGCATATCTTGGCTCTGTGGAGACCTCTGCAAGCAAGTGCCCATTTAGATAGTGCCAGAAGCCTGACACAACTACTGCTGAGGACACTCCTCAGGACAAACCAGCTTCCTGCATACAGCCTGGCTAATTAATACAGAAAATAACTAGAGAGACCAGTGTAGCAAGCTATTTTCTTCACCAAATGCTATCACATTTTCAATTTAGGAGCAGTTTTATATCAGAACCAACTAAATACCCAAAACTTAAAATACCCAAAACTTAACATGGCAACATCATCAAAATAATAATTCATAGGTTTCTGTGGGGTCTTGCATATTCTACTAGAATAGGAAGATTAATGCTTGAGCCCTTCACAGTGCTACATCAATGAGACCAAATGAGGAACAGGTATATGTGCCCTAGTGGCTTATTTCAAATTAGTTTCTGTGCAGTAAGCATGCAGTGAAACC